CAGTGAGTCTTCTAAAAATAACAAAAGGGAGTATTTACAGTTAACCACATTATTTAGAGTGAAGAATTTTGATGTTGCTTTGCTGGCCCAAGCTGTTACTACTCTTCTTGTTCCTCCTTTGGCCCCACTTCATCAGGTATCACAAACGCTTCATCTTTGGCATAGAGAATGTCCACAATCCTCTGCAATACATGGTTGCTTTCTCCCTAGTTCTCTTGGCAAATCAATTTAAAGGTCCTTAGCTTTCCAAAGTAGAAATCTCTTTTTTCCAATTCTTTGAGGGTAAGTTTCTATATGCTGACCTGCTGCACCAGTTCAGTTATTACGTTGTCCCCATTGCTCACACCAGGATTCTTTTGCAGCACACCTGGGCCAGCCGTAGGGGTTGCAGTAGTTCTGTGTGTAACAATGGGCCTCTGAGGAGCTGCACTGCTAGAGCTGAGAGGTTTCTTCAGTTTGTTCATAGCTGGAGCAACAAGGGAGGGAGCCACTGCAGTTTCTTGACCTTGTCTGGCAGCTACAGGGTCATAGTCTTTTCCATCATAGTTTGTATCAAAAAACTTCTTGAACCACTGAACGAATTCAAAATTGTCCTGAAATTTTCCTTTTACTAATCTGTCCACAGGAATTATTTTGTCAACACCCATCCTCTTAAAACCTGCTTGTAATATTTTGAAGTTCTGGGTATACATGTTCTGTGTATTCGTGTTATAGCTTAGCTTGAAATTACACTTTCTTCAAGGCAATGGAACCAGGGAACAGCATGTCCATAAACTGACAATAGGCAGCCACTGAGCACAACTGTTCCACCTTTGTCAGATTCAACTGCAGGGACTCATTGATCCAGGCCAACATGTCATGTCGACTTAGGTTATCATTGGTGACTGATGTTGAATATGCATTCACTGCCATCTTAGGCTCACGGAGGAACCACATCCACTGCAGAGCCCGGCTTTGGTTCCATCTTCCTCTTGTTCAAACCGTTTGACCCCACCCGCCCACGTGATGACCTCACCTAGTTATTGCTAATATATACAATATATTGATTTCAGAGAGGAAAGGAGAGGGAGAGAGAGAGATAGAAACATCAATAATGAGAGAGAATAAATAATCAGCTGCCTCCTGCATGCCCCACACCTATAGTCTAGACATGTGCCCTGACTGGGAATCAAACCATGACCTCCTGGTTCATAGGTTGACACTCAACCACTGAGTCATGCAGGTCAGGCAACAGTTATTACTTTGAAGAGTAGGACTGTGGTCCAAGGGAGGGGAAAGGGTATTTTCTTTAGATTTTATATCTTTTAAAATTATTTCAATCTTTTTAATTTTTAAATTTTTACTGATTTCAGAGAGGAAGGGAGAGGGAAAGAAAGATTGACACATCAGCCGCCTCCTGCATGAGGTGTGGGTTGGGGAAATGTGTGTGTGGGTACCCCATGAACCCACAACCCAGGCATGTGCCCTTTCCAGGAATCGAACCGTGGTCTCCTAGTTTATAAGTCGATGTTCAACCACTGAACCATGCCAGCTAGGGATAAATATTTTAATTTTTAATGATTTGTATCCATTAATTTAAAAATAATTATTACAAACACAATCCAATTGCTGTAAAAATTTAAATACAGCAGAAGTTAATAAAAGTCCCTTCTCTCCCACCTCTTAATCCCATTCCTAGAGGACAGTTAACCACGAATATGAGTTTGGGGCCTGGTTTCTCAGTGTGGTTTCCAGAACAGCAGCACCAGGATCATCTGAGAAATTGCTAGAAATGCAGATTCTTATGTCCCACCCCAGATTTGCTCAAACTCCATAGCCGAGCCTAGAAATTTGTATTTTAAAAAGCCGCTTGGTAATTTTGGTGTATGCTCAAAGTTGAGAATCATTTTATTTTAGCAGGTTAAACTAGATCTTTGGTGGTGGTGGTGGTGGTGGTGTTGGGGGAAAGGAGGATTTGAGAAGAATCCTCCTGGGGAAAACTAATAATTCAAAATGACATGTTCCCCATTCAACCAGCAAGCTCTTGGTCAAGGATTGGCAGCCCCTTGAGCTCACTGTGACCTCTACATTGGGGTTGAGTGATAACCGTACTGCCAGTTTGAAGGCATTATGTAGAAAAGGGGAACATTTTAGAAGGAGAACCAGGCTGGCATGGCTCAGTGGATGAATGTTGACCTATGAAACAGGAAGTCACATTTCAATTCCCAGTCAGAGCACATGGCCAGGTTGTGGGCTAGATCCCCAGTGTGGGATGTGCAGGAGGCAGCTGATCAATGATTGTCTCATCACTGATGTTTTTCTTTCTTTCTCTGTCTCTTCTCATCTCTGAAATCAACAAAAAAGGAGAAAGGTAAAAGGAGTATAGAAGAAACTAAACAAGGATGAGTCAAGAAAGAAAAAATGGTAAAGAGAGAATGAAGATAAAAAAAAAGTCATAAGATGGCAAGTATATGACAACAACACCTTAGGGCCACTCATTCATTGAGTTAATTCATATTTATCATTTTAAAATTATAAATTATAAATCTCTATATTTTGTTAATTTCTGCTGGGTGGACAGACTTTCTGTTCCTCTGATCTACACATTTCATTGTCTATCATTTACCAAATGTGATAAGTTCATTATTTCTCACACCATTCAGTGTCTTGACATTTAGGAAGTGTTTGCTAATGATCCCTGCTCCCTGGCCAAAGAATCATGAGCTCTCAAAGGGTTCCAAAGACTCATAATTTAACTGGGCATGTGTGTGTGTATGTGTACGTGTTTGCTGAGGAATTCTGCCCACTGGAGAGGTGTGAGGTATGGTAGGAGAGGAAGTGCACATGAAAACACTCTGGATGCAGCACTATCAACAATCTAGTCAATACATATGAAGCTCAGATTGGAAGGGATCTTCTAGAGTTCCTCAAACATCGGCCCTAGTCCCACAGGCTTTTGCAGAAGAGCCTGGGGAAAGTTCCTTCAGCTGGGCTGGGGTAATGAAAGACTGTATACAAAAGTAACTAGTTTTCAGTGCTGGCCTGTGTGACTCAGTTGGTTGAGCATCAACCCATGACCAGGAGGTCATGGTTCAATTCCCTGTCAGGGCTCATAACTATGTTGTGGGCTCAATACCCAGTAGGGGGCATGCAGGAGGCAGCTAATCAATGATTCTCACTCATCAGTGATGTTTCCCTCTTCTCTTCCGTCCTCACTGAAATTATATATATATATATATATATATATATATATATATATATATATATATATATATATATATGTAAGTAGTTTTCACAAGGTTTGAGATGGGGGAACATTAAACAACTCTAAGTATAGAAGCTCAGACCAAACAAAGCTATAAATATTTTTAGCCTATTTTCCTTTTTTACAAAATACCCACCACTTACCTATGACTTCCAAAACATTGTTCTGTCTCATGAACATGACTGTCCCAGTCAAGGAACCAGCATTTGTTTTGTCAGGGGAAAAGGTTGCAATGGTGGATTTAGTATAAAAGGCTGATCTATCTTACTGTGTTCCATTTTTTAATTTGATGACATCTGCAAGAGGTTAAGGGCAACAATTTATTAAACCAGATCTTTGACTCATTGAGGCACTTTGCTTCCTTATTTTATATAATAAAAGGCTAATATGCAAATTGTCCCCTTGACTGGGAGTTCGACCAGGGGGCAGGGCTGGCTGGTCAATTGCCAGAGGCCCCTCTCCCAGCCAGCCCCGCTCCCAATGCCCTCCCCCCATCAGGAGCAGGGTGACCCACCAACCTCCCCCTGACTGTCCCTGCCCTATCACCCCAATCCAGTCCAGCTGGCCGGACCCCACTCATGCACAAATTCATGCACTGGGCCTCTAGTATTTTAAATAAAAGAGCATTTACTCTTCTAGATTCCTGGAATTATAAAGCTGGAACCACTTAGAAATAATGTCTGACTCATTAAAATTGCCTTGGGGAGTTTTGAGAAAAATACAATGCCCAGGCCCCACTCTATACCAACTTAATTTGAATCTCAAGGGACAGGACCAAGGGGGCACCTCTGGTTTTAAAGCACCACAAGAGATTCTAACAGGATTGAGAAACAGCTCTTGATAAAAAAAAGAAACATATAACAACAACAACAACAATAATAAAATAAATAAACAAAACACACACACACACACAAAGACAGGGCCTCCTATTTCAGAATCTCTGAGGGAATAAAGTGCACGAATCTGTATGTTATTAAAAATACCAGATGATTCTTTTGGAAACTTACATTTGAGAAGCAGTGCTTTATTTCAATTGGAAATTTTTATAGCTTTTGAATTTCATTTGTTGAGTATTGTAAGTTTCATCTGTTCCACTGTTAAATAAACCAAATATGAATTTAGTTTAGTATGAATTCATTAAAGGATAAAAGCAACTGGAAGGATAATGGATGGATATAGATAGATAAACACAGTCTCTGGGTAGTAGGTATATGGATGATCTTTGTTTTTCCCCCCTTTCTATTTTATTTCTATCTCATTTTCTCTATTTAAAGAAGTGTCTTCCTCTTTCTGAGTTGAATTTCCCCTTCTGAAAAACAGGGTGTTGTAACTTAGTGAGGACCTTCAAGACCAGGTCCTGTTCTGGCGGTCAGTGACTTCATATTACCCACTCGCTCACTTGCTCATTTAATAGCATGAACTGCATAGATAACAACAGTGTTCGGAGAATCATCGTATATGATTCTTGTATGTGTTACGTTGTGATGCCTAGCAACCGTTTTTACTCCAGAAAAATTATTCTCTTGTTCAAGGAATAGGAACTGAAATAATCTCCACCATGTACACCAACCAAAAGTTCATCCTCTCTCTTTTGCCTCAGATAAGGCCGTCCGCGCACATCTCTGAAGAAAGTAAGGACTGTGAACCAAAAAGCCAGGGCGTGGTCGTCCCGCCCACCCGCCCGACATCACTACCCTTTTCGCGGCTTTGGAGCTCAGGGATTGGCTGAAGGCAAGAAAGAGCCCCGCCCCTAGTCTTATGACCCGCGCTGAAGCTCCCAGTCCCGGCTTTCACGGTGCTGTGGTCGGTGGTCAGGAACTGTCTTCCTCCGCTTCCCCGAGCCTCTTCGCGGTGTTGCCGCTCTCTCCGCTGCCTGCTCTTCCGGATCATGGTGTGCTTCCGCCTTTCTCCGGTGCCCGGCTCGGGGCTCCTTCTGCTCTGCCTCCTTCTGGGTGAGTTGTGGGGCCCTCCAGCTTAGTACCCGCCCCGCCTGGGCCCGGGGCGCCCAGTTCAAAGGCCACAACTTGCCCAACTGGTCTCAGGGGTGGAGGTTGAGAGGCTGAACAGCTGACCCTGGGCGGTGGCGCTTGCCTCAGGTGACAAGCAATGACTTAGACAAAATCCGGGAGGGATGGCGGAGGAAGAAGGGCCAGTGAGAGTAAGAAAGAGCAAGTAATCAGAGTGGGCTGGATGCCAAGAGAGTAGGTAGGAAAGTGCGAGGAGTGAAGTGGCTGCGGTAGGAAGAGTCATTTCGGGGAAAAGACGAAGGAATGAGCTTAGATAGTCCGTACGTGCTGATTCTGGGGTGGCAGAGACAATTAGGAAAGACCTGGCTTCCTAGGATCAGGGAAGAGTTTTGAAGATGGTGGAAAAGTAAGGGGCGAGAGAGAAAATTGGGGAAGGAAAAGACTGCCTGCGTGAAGAACTTGAGGGAAGTGGGGCAGATATGACAGTTGACTCTGAAGGACAGTGAGAGGGTTGGGGGCTTTGGTGGAAGGGTGATTAAAGAGATGAGGAATGATTCTGGATTTCACTTTGGTAGTTGGATTTCTGAGGGGGGAAGGGACCTAAGGTGGCTGGGCAGTTTCCAGGCAAGAAAACTCGGGCTGAACCTTTGAAGTGTAAAGGAATGAGTGGGAACTTCTATAGGGAGTGAATATCTGACTTGGAGGTGTTGAAAGTGTCCGTTTTCTACTAGTTTTGCTATACTTTTCCAAGCCCCTAAATCCTCAAATTTTTCAATTGGAAGGACCTTCCAGATCCAAGGTTTTGAGAATGTATACGAGTCTCCTATGCTTCTTTGCTTTCAGAAGCTCGTTTTCTTTTTCCATATCATACAACTGGCCTATTGGTTTTCGGAAGAGGAAAAGGTGGAGGAGGGTAGGTAACTTGCTAAGGACTGGGTTGTTATCACTGATTATGTGGCTTCTGGAAAACTCCACTGAATACTGGTGAGGGGATGAGAGTGAAAAAGACAAATATTATCTTATCTCAGAATGGCTGGGCTGATTGTGTCTCCCCCTCCCTCCTCCATAAGCAGTCAGTTTAATGCTTGAAAGGTGAACTTTGACTAAAATGTCTCTTCCTGACCTGATTCATCCTGTTTGTTGCTACCCACTGACTCTTGCTGTTTGTGACCTAATTAAAAAAGAAACAAAAAACTGAAGAGACAGATCAGATGGGAGCGGAGAGGAAATCGATATATTAGTGGTCTGAGAAGACAGTAAAGAGTACACATCTTATAATTCACACTTCAAGAGAATAAAATCAGCCCCCTAGAACAGTGGATTCTCAATCAGGGGATATTGGCAATATCTGGAGACATTTTTGGTTGTCACAGCTGGGAATTGCTTTTAGCATCTAGTGGTTAGATGTCAGGTATGCTTCTAAATAACCTACAATGCACAAGACAGCTCCTGGGCGCCCCCCCCCCCCCCACGCCCAAACAAAGAATTATCTACCTCAAAATGTCAGTAGTACCAAAACTGAGAAATATTGCTCCACATCCATAGCATTGAAAGGATTCTTGATTATCTGATGTAGTGATTCTCAAGGATCTTTGCTGGGAGTCTGTCAGATCAAAACTATTTACAGAAAAATACTAAGATATTATTTGTAATTTTCACTCTCATCCTCTCACCAGTGTTCAGTGGAGTTTTCCAGAAGCCGCATAATGAGTGATGACATCACCCTGATGGCTCTGATATGTTTTACTTCTCAATTTTAAATTTTATGGCAAATACCTATAGATAGAACTCCCATAAAAGCTCTTTGAGATCCTCAGTGGATAAGAGAGTAAAGGGGGTCTTGACACTGAAACATTTGTGACTCTCTGATCTAGTCCAGCTGTCCACAAGTGCAGGAAACTCTTCTGTGGCCTCTGAAAAGGGGTTGTTGAGGCTTTGCTCAAGCACAGTTTGAAGCTTTCATGCTGCTGAGAACTGAGCAATCCTAAGAAAGGATTATTTACCAAAAAAGCACCTTACCAGTGACTAGAACGCATCTAACCACAGCATCTGTTAACCAGTAATTCACTGCCAATTGAATCTGCACAAATACAACACTGTTATTGTTTATAGAGAAAGTAAAACTAATAAACAGTTGTCTTATTGGTTTTCATGTCATTAATTTTTTTTAATGAATGCTCTTTTGATTTTACAAAAGCAATGCTTGCTCATTGCAGAAAACAAACATGCAAAAGAAACATAAAAGAACTATCAGTTCATCTGCTAGTTTGCCATTTATTGATTGGGACTAACTAGATTCACCCTCTGGGAAGATTTCCTAGATTGATTACGTCCCCTTGTAAGTTCAAAACAGGATTTGGAGGAGTAAAAGTTAATAATGTACCCAGATCAGATTTTTTAAAGGTACTTTAAACAATAAAATAAAATTTTAAAAAATGTAAAAAAAAAAAAAAAAAAAGAAAGAAAGTACCAGGATGAAATAGAAACCATGTCTTCTATACAGCTGCTTTTCCCTGACAACTGTTGGTTCAGTGTGGCACTAACTTTTCTCATGTGGTTTTGTCTATTGAAATTTTAGCAGGTCTTCAGTTGCTTGGTGCAGTTTGCATGTTGCTTTTATATATCAAAATGGCTACCAAGATTAAGTTTTTGAAAACTCAATAAATATTTGTAAAGTATATGTTATGGATCCTATGCTATTCCTGGGTACTAGGATGGTGGTGAAGGATGATCTGAAGTGAATTTATAGCCTCATTAGCATTAGTGTTTTAGCTGTGCCACTTTGTGACTTTATAACTCTATCCCAACTTCACCAGTAACTTTACTTTTTAGAAACAACTGTTTTAGAGGAAGTGCAGAAAAGAATTCCTCGAGTCTAACTATTGGCCTTTTCCACAGAGTTAAATGTGCTGATATTTATTTGAATTGTAACTGACTAGAGCACTTTCTGGAGAAGAGCTATATAGCAACATTATAAAGAGAGTACTAAATGAAAATCTTTTCCTAGCATCATTGCCTAACTGTGTTCCCATCATGTGACATCAGAGATTTCAGAATTTTGTGAGTTTTGATTCTTATAACTAGTGACTTCTGGTTTTTATAGGGTTGAAGCTTTTCTGGGAGGGAAAAACCTCATAGAAATATCCTGAGTGTGTGTTTCACTGGTTGGAGCCCCTCCTTTCCACAAATGTTTCTTGAATGCCTATTTTGTACCAGCCACTATACTAGGTGAAAGGTAGAGACAGTGCAAAAGGAAAGACAGATGAGCTCCCAGCTCTTGGGGAGCTTACATTTTAGTGGCGGAAGACAATCCAACATGTAAACAATAGAATTTCAGATAGTCCTAGGCAGTGTGAAGAAAATGCAGCAGGTAATGTGGAAAAGGATTGAGCAGATGATGGGGGGTGGGTAATGGAGTCATAAGGCCTTTCATTGTTGTTTGACATTTGAGCAGAGACCTGACTGTTGGAAGGAGGCATCTGGAGGAACGGGAGTAAATCCTTTTTTTTTTTTTTTTTTTTTAATATATTTTATTGTGCCCGCAACCAACATACATGCCCTTGACCGGAATGGAACCTGGTACCTTTCAGTCCGCAGACCGACGCTGTACCACTGAGCCGAACCAGCTTCGGCAGGAGTAAATCTTGACTCCCAAATTCTTAATTCATTACGCTAGCCTATTTTTCACTCTTTTCCCCCCCTAACAGTACCAGTGGTGTTCATTTCTGAGAGTGGAGACTATCTTATGTACAGTTATTTCCCTGTGTCTACCTAGCACAGGGCTTGCTACATATTTGACTCTCCATAAATGTTTGTTGAGGGTACTTATTGATGGGCACTGGGGATATGATGATGAACTAGACCAACTTGGTCTTCTTATTCCTCTTGAATCTTTTTTAAAAAAATATTTTATTTTTTACAGAGAGGAAGGGAGATAGAGAGCTAGATACGTCGATGAGAGAGAAACATCGACCAGCTGCCTCTTGCACACCCCCACAGGGGGTGTGCCCGCAACCAGTGTACATGCCCTTGCCCGGAATCGAACCTGGGACCTTTTAGTCCGCAGACCGATGCTCACTGAGCCAAACCGGTTTCGGCTTCCTCTTGAATCTTAAATTATGTTTTCAAAGAAGTTATTTTTGTGTGTCTTTGAATTGAGAACATCGAGATTAGTGCTAAGCAGTACAGATAATTATAAACCTATTTACTAAAGTATAATCCCATATAATAATGCTAGTATCCTACCTGTATCCCTTCAGATATACCTACATAGTAGTGAGGGTTAACAAGAACAAGGAAGTCTGGTGAGAAGGAGAATATGGTTTTAACAAAGAATCAATTTCTCTCTCCTTTTGTGGGTGATCTAAAAGAGAATGTGAGCATTGAGATTTTTCTGTAGCCTAACCACATTTGGTTAAACTGGTAACTTTGATTTCAGAGTTCTGCTAAAAATTATTCTATCTATATTAGTGTGACTTTAAAGGACAGGATATCATTGGTTATCACATCTGATAGGATTGTAAATATTCAGATATTTCATATGAGTGCAGCTTTCTTCCTCTGTATCCTTGGGTGGAATTTATAATCAAGGTTTGTTTTACAGTACTATGTCTGACTTAAGTGATCCATTGGTGCAGGAAGGCTATTTTTCCTCATGTAGTAACAAAAGCATTCTGGTGATAATTTTGTATTGCAGTGATCAGAGATCTCCTATCCAAAAGTATACTTTATGAGTACTTGTTGGTATCCTGCTATATGATGCAAGAGAGTTTTCTGGAGGTCTGCCAAATACCATATAGCAATAAGCACTTTCCACTAGTCGGATAATGTTGAATCTTATTTCCTTACCCACTCTGTGACTTAAAAACATTAAATTATTTTGAAGCTTGCAATCATATTATTACTTTTATTTTTAAGAGATTTACCAGAAATCAAGAGTATCAGCAACTGAATGTGATGATTGTACCTATATTAAAAATTATAAG